TACACCCCAAACAAAAAGATAAAATAAAAATAAAATAAAAATACAAGAAAACAAAATTTTAAAGTATAAGTACAAGAAATAACAATACCCTCCCCCAAAAAACAAACAACAAAATAAAACCCAATTACACAAAAAAAAAAATTAAAAAAAAATCAAATCACCATTCTGTCCCTAGTGTCAAGGCAATGGCACCAACATGGAGGACAGCGAACACTACCCATCTGGGAATCGCACCGACTCGGAACTACTGCGCCGAATCCCGACCCACGCCACAAACGGAGGCATGAGACGAGTACCCCCGGGGACCAAACGGTTCAACCGGCGTCGCTCCATCCCCCCGGACTCCGCTGGGGGCAAAGACGAGAAGTTGGGGAAAGACAAGAAGAGCGACGAAAGGCTGTTTCTCGTTGATGACGACGACGACAACGACAGTTTGGACAGTATGATTCTGGAGAGGAGGATGTCCCGGAAGAGGCGACAGGAGAAGAAGCAGAGGCGGAAGTGGAGAGCAGGTCAGTGGGGTCGTTTGGATTACAATTCTAAGAAAAATATAATTTAGATACACTATAGAAATGCCTTAGGATAATAAAACATTTGTGAAGCAGCGTGGTGGAATCAGGCTCTCGTCAAAATAATCAAAGTAATGAAACTTGCATTTTTCCGCATGTTTGTGATTTTTTAAATCGAAATTTTGTTTTTTGGCTCGACACCTTTCATGCCCATTACCAAACTCATTTCTGTGTGAATTTTTCTGAAAAACGTTGATTAAAGGCACAAAAAATGTAAATTTTTTGTTACCACGGACTTTTAAGCTAAGGAAATAACTAATCTTTGGCGGCCATTTTCATACAAATTTTACCTCTGAAAACAGGTGACCCCAACCTCCTTCTTTCGCAAATATCTCGACCTGTATGTAAGATAAATGAATATTTATTTCATCCAATTAAAGACAAGTGAACAAGCTTTAAGATGATACCAATAACTCTACACGCCCAAAAATTGACGAGAGCCTGATTCCACCACGCTGCCTCACATTTAAGAAAAGCATTATAACATAATTTAAGAAAAACTCTTTAGGCACTTTTAAGAAAGGTAGATCTTTTTTAAATTAATGAGATGAATATTTGGAGTGATTTTCTTTTTTTAGTCAGATCACAATGTTACTGTTGTGCGTTCCACTGTATTGTAAAGCGCTCAGAGCCTGTGTACTTTAATCGGGGTTGAGCGCTATATAAAAGTAATTTATATTATTAT